TAACAGATCAAGTAACTATTTGCGAAAATTGTGAAAAGTAGGATAGAGTTTACAAGAATTCAAAATATTTGTAGCAGTCATTTGAATACTTGATCAAGTTCAAATTTTGATTATATTTCTTTTTCATTACACTGATACGTAGTATATTATTGTTTTCTTTCCTATGAAGATTCATAAAGCAGCGTTCATTCTACCATCCTTCGCAATAAAATTGCTCGAGTAGGAACAGGAATAAAGACATGAAGGTTTTCGCAAGATCAAAGGAGGCATTAATTAATATAATGCGAGGATCAAGAAATATAAACTATATATACAAATATACAATATGTGTGTCGTACTAGCTGCATTGTTTTCTATTCTTATGCCTTCAAATAATTTGAGCAGAGTTTTGGTTCGCATATGTTCGTTTCATAATATCATCTAATTGCATCCAAAATAAATTGTACGCCATGAATTGTATTTTTCTTATGATCAATAACAAGAAAATCTTGACCTGGCCGGCCTCTCACGATCTTTACAATTTTACATTCTAGTTATCATTATTTTACATCTAATACTATGGACTAAAATTTATGGGAATTAGTGTTGTGGTACTAATGCTATAGACGTGTTTGACAATCAACCGTTAGCAGATTTTGTTTGTGGATTACGAAAAAATTGATAATTTAATTGTTTGACCGTTGCAATTAACAAATAATGTCATATTTCACAACGCTAAGACTATGTTTGATATGATCAGGGGCGGATGTACCCTTTAAACAATGGGGGCACTTGCCCCCAATAACGTTTGGGTTTTTAGGTGTTTTTAAAAACGTTTTTGTCATTTAATCACTAGTGCCCCCAATTAAAAATTTGATTGCCCCCATTAAATACTCCACAAAATTTATGAAATGCAAAAGTTGCGAAGAGACAACCTATCTGCCATGAAACTTTTTAAAAAGTCCACTATCATTTACACCGGTGGGCGTATCTCAACTGGTAGCGAGGGAGTACCACAAGGGTTAGGTCTCGGGTACGAATCCCGGCAACTGCGATGAGAGGTTACTATGCTGAAAAATGCATAGGGCTTCTGCAAGTACCGGGGACAGAGCCCCACTCTCTATCTGTCAGATTGTGATTATAGTCCAATTTACATCCTCTCATCGTGCAGTCCGGTCGGTGTTAGGGGACCCTCAGGGATGGGATGTTATCCTTTTTTTAAAAAGAATGGTTGAGCAGTTAAGCCAAATTACCCACTATCTTTTTCCAAAAACTACACGTACTGTACAATTGGATTTGTCAATTATCCAACCGACTAAGGATGTTTTCTTTTTGGATTGAAATTTGCGTGTCTGGTCTAGTCTGATCTGGTTAGGTCTGGTGTGGTCTGATCTAGGACTGAAGACTATTCAAAAGAAAACATCCTAATTAAGATTTAAAATTAGTTGGTTTTCTTATCTTTACTCTCATAATAAGGTTTATTAATTATAGGTTTTTCAAAAGTATAATTGAAATAAAATGTATTTATAGACATATGGTTAAAGTTACTTGGAGTACAATGTCATGATCATTTAAATATAAAATTGAGTTTACTTGGTCCTATTTTGAGTCATTTGTTTTTTAAGAATGTTACAACTTACATCTCTTTAAATTAATGTATAGGCAGCCTACTGTATATGTTGTTATTTCTAAACATTTATTTACTCCGTAGTAAGTAATTTCTGAACGGGAGCCCCGTCTGGCCTCCTCCGTTTGGGACAGTTCCTGGTGCTATTTTTTGCTGATTTTTTTTGTATGTTTTTCATCAAGTCTAATGTTTTTTGGAAGTTGAGTACCTTCCTGATTGAATTTTTAGCTGAAATTTGATATGAAAAAATTAGACTTGATAAAGAACATGCAAAAATATTTGAGCAAAAAATACCACCGGAAACCTCCCCAAAAGGAGGAGGCCGGACGGCGCTCCAGTCAGGAATTTCCTGACCGGAAGATTACTCGTATGGTGTATGCCCCCAATAACTAAGTTTTCTAGATCCGCCACTGGATATGATGTAATGTAATGTAATAGAATGAAGTGCGCAATGCAATACAAAATTATTTAACCAACATTACATGTTTGTTTATCTACCGTTTATATATATAAAATGGTTCGTTGCTCAAACGTTCACGAGATTTTGATTTCCTACAATTCTGTTTCTCCAAGCAACAATAAATCAATCACTGGTTAGTGGTTAGAAAATTAAAGCCGAATCATATTTAAGAGAGGATTGTCCTCTTCGATCTGTTGCTGAATTGGAGACGACGTCATTTCTTGTCCACCCCAGTCCCACCATATTCGTCAAGGTCGGTCAGTTCATTTTTATGGCAAGTAATCCCAAATACTTTTATAAGCTGTAATCTCAAATACGGACCTTTTTTTAATGTAAAATTTAAAGAAATTGCCCTAATATGAGTAAAAACGTTTTGAAATTCCAAAATAGGAGTATCATATTTTTTATTCCCTGAATAAAAGTAATCTGCCAAGTTTAGAAAAAATGTCATGTTAAAAGCCTTGTAATGCCAAACTTGGCATAAATTTACTTCTATTCAGGGAATAACAAACATGATACTGCTATTTTTGGAATTTCAAAACGTTTTTACTCCTATTTAGGGAATTCTCTCAAAAAATTATTACACATGTAAAATTAATGAATATCATGTATGGAATGTCATTTCGTGTAATGACATAACACGTAAGGCTCATTACATTACATGATTACGTCATACCAAACATAGCCTAAATCCAAAATAAAACACTGTTGTTGGCAACATTACTACACAAGATCTTCTCGCTAATCCCTTAAAAAGAGGCTACCAAAAAGCTTTTCTTTGTTGGTGAAGTTGTTGGGGCATAGCTACCATAAGAACAGAGCCGGCTATAGGGGCAGTGAGACCAGGCATCTGCCTAGGGCCTCACTCAGTTTAGGGGCCTCAAAAAAAAATCGCTTGTACTAGTAATACTCCATATTCGGTAAATGGGAATTGAATTGCAATTTCGAAGGACTGTCTTCCACTCTCCCGATGACCTTGCGGCTTCTGGACTCCAAAGCTGAAAGCTAAAGTGACATCCAATTAAAGACTGAAAAACGAGCAATGAATTCGGGAAATTGGGACAAATTCGGCGATCCCGAACGAATAGGCAACAAACGATGAAACCGGACGATTTCGGGCGACGAATCCGACAATTGACAAATGACAAGTGCCGAGCTCTTGCGGCCGACTCACGAATTGCATTTTCAATGCGTGCATTGACATTTGTTTCTCCAGTTCAGCTGCTCTTATCCGGCCATTTGGAATTCATCATTCCACCATTCAATTTCAACCTTCCATTTAAGGGCAATCGAATAATCCGTATGGGTGAAGAGTTAATGAACCATTCACATTGCCGCTATTACCTAGTTTAGTTCACGTAGTATTACGGAGTACTTTTTGTGACTTTGTCATTGTATAGTTTAATTTATATGCATTTTTTGTTAATAATAAATGTTACTTTATATAATGTATTATTAATATGCTTCACATCTTTTTATGCGTTTTATTAAGATTTATTTTTTCATTTTACTTAGAGCGCATTTGGTAACATTAAATGACTAAATCAGTTGATTCTATTTAAATTTATGAAATTCTTACTGAAATGGCTAGATCAGCTAATTCTGCTAATTTATGAAAAAAAATAATTTTTTGATATTTTTATTAATAAAATAAAGAAAAAGTTATATGAAAAAAATAGGTAAAATGATACTCTACAGTAAGACCAGCTAATGCAGCTAGAAAAATCATTTCAATCTTACTTATTTCGATTATTACATAATTCAACACATGAAATTAAAAATTAGGTGTTTGATGAAAAAGTTGGTTGATAAATTGAAAAATAGGGTCACCAAACAAGTTTTTTGATAAAATTGTTTGTGAATTTTCTATTTTATATGAATATGTAGGTATTGTCATATGATTGGTAAATAAAAATTTGACTATAGATGATTCATAAATGTTTTTCCGCCTAGGGCCTCCGAAAGCCTAAAGCCGGCCCTGCATAAGAAGACTGATTCTTTTACATCATGTTGCTTCATGTTATCATGTATGCCTCCCATTCAAGTGATGGATCCTCTCAAAAGTAACACACTATCACTAAACGTCTAGAACGTTAGATTTGTTTTAACTCTAGCTTACGCATTATAAAGCGATAGAGCTAACAGTTATGACTTGTGGGTTCCAAATGCTGGGGCACTACAAATTAAAAACACACAGTTTAAAACAAAATCCAGTCACGGAACTTATCCATAACAAACATGGCATAATTATCAATTATCATGGGTCTTTTACAGAACCCAAGGTCTGCTGTCTAAGTTGAAGAAGTAAAATTTTGTCAATGAAAACTCTCTGAAAAAGATTTGACATTGAAATTTCTAGCCAAAACTATGCCAAAAGTGACGATGTAATGGTCTATGCTTAGTGATATTCTTTCTCCATCCAAAAAACTAATGAATTAGGCAAGGAAGCATTTGGTGACATACAATTCTATATATATGTATATGTGTATTTGTAGATTTAGAATCACATTACAAGTATTCATAACTTAAAGATTACAAAGAATCTCGTTCATCTATATATTTAACATAATCTTTTGCCCATCTTAATGAAGAGAAGAAGATTTTAATTTGGCAGTTGAGGATGTTTAATCTTTTTGGTTTGTTCACTTGCTTCATTCCAACATCATCATTGTATTACAAAATATAACATGTTATAAGCTTATTTAAGCCTTTTGATGGTCCTTTTTACTCTCAATCTATAAGTATTCCTAAATAATTAAGGTATCATTATGTCAACATCTTTTAAACTTATACTACGTATAAGCTTGTTTATTTGAAAACATAAAATCTTTTGCTCAATCTTGATGTATATTACTTTTAACTGCTTTCTTTTGTAATATCATGCCATAATGTAAAAACAAATTACAAGTCAGATATGGAAGAAAAATGACTAGACTTGGGTTTTCATAAAAAATTCCTTGATGGCATCAACAAATTTACTATTTTCACTTGAACAAAGAAATGCTTTAAATTCCTTGACAAAAAAAATTTCCAAGTGCCAAACAATAAATTCGTGATTGTGGCGAAGTTTTGGGATATCTATATATTAGAGGCTATGTCGAAACCTGCTTTACTTATAATTGGAGTTACAGTTATCAGTGTATCCTGCTTGATTTGTCCTGAGATGAATTGTTGGGCACATAGGAACAAATATTGCAGGGTCCTAGAATGACAAGTGTGCTTTATTAAGTCCTTCAACCCCACATTCCACTTGAATATTAAAAGAAATAGGATCTGAGCTTCTTTATATATGTTGTCAACTGACCTGGCACCACAAAATCTGATCATTCCCAGAGCCTCCTCTCATCGGTTGATTCTTCCGCTAGAGATAACATAAGATATGTCATACATGACAACGCATCATTTCTAACGTACAACGCTCAACAGATAAAATATACGGAGTTCTTTGCTTTGAGAAAGTAAATAGTGGAAAAGCACCAAAACACATCAAAGATGAATTATGTCAACGTGCAACTTAACAGGCACCAACATCCAATTGAGAAATCTTCTTTTTAGAACATATCAAAGTTGAACAAACCCTTTGTTCATGGTGAGATAAAACCATACTCTTGTCAGAAATGTTACATCCAGCTACGGAAAAAGAACTTCAGTCTTAATTCTAGATTTGTACCTGACAGTTTCGAGGACACCTCTGGAATACTCAAATTTCACCGAGATAGATTTGTTTATCACTACTACAGGAACCAATAATAGGTTCATACGGATGAAAGACACATTCATTCACAGCCCCAGTGTGTCCAGGAAGTTTATACAAAATCCGCCTGGAAGTTGTATCCCATATGTAAACCATGCGGTCAGAGCTGCCAGCTGTTACCCTGCTCCCATCAGGAGACCAACCACATTTCAACAAGTTCTTTTCAAAATTGTGTTGGTGACCTTCAAGGATCTTAACACACCGATTTTGTGGGGCATATGGACGCATGTCCCAAATACGAAGACTGCAGTCCATGGAATTGGTCAAGAGATAGGACCCGTCCGGACTCAGTGACATACCAGTTATAGTGTCATGATGTCCTTGGAGGGTCATAGTGACCTCACTTCTACGGATATCCCACACCTTCACTTCGTTATCAATCCCACCTGTGTATATTTTGTCAGATGCATCAGAGAAACTAACCGCGGTTATTTGATATTTGTCTGGAAACGTTTGAATTGCTCCTCTTTGGCGCATATCCCAAAGTTTGGCAGTCCCGTCATCCGATCCACTCACAATGAGGGGTGGGCCCCTTCGGGCAGGACAGCATGAGTTGACAAAAGACGAATGCTCAACCATTTTCTTTATCTGTTTTCCAGTTTCAACATCCCAAGCTCTAAGTGTCTTGTCAGGGCTGGCGGATATTATGACTGACCCATCAGTCATCCACTGGACATCCAGAACAGCATTTTTGTGCCCTTTTAAGACCATGAAGTTTTTGCAGTCGCCATATACATTCCATAGAAAGATTTCCTTGTCATGCGAACCAGATGCAATTACAGTTCCTGCAGGATTGAACTTCATTGAATATACGGCACTTTGATGTCCAGTCAGCAACATGATCGGAGATTCCAGGCTTGAGGTTCTCTGTTTTCCATTTGGTCCTGGTGCTTGGAATCCACCAAAAGGATTTGACAGTTCGGATGGCCTTGGACCAATTACGGACAAAGCACTTTCCATTTGCATTTTTTATACTTCTACTCAAGCTGGAAATGTGGTTTTGTGATTTTGTCAGCAGAGCATGTAACAGAATATATGAAAGTATGAAACAGAAGAGTACAACAACAACTTCTAAGCCTTGATCCCAAAAGAATTTGGGTGGCCTAACATGAATCGACATAAGATATTAAAGTAGTTCATTGCTTTTTGAGAAAAAGTCCATCAAGTCTAGTCCTACATTTCACATTATAATATGAAACAGAAAAATAAATCTCCATCTATATATAAACAAAAGCTGGACTGCCTGGGGTAACTGTAGGGGTGGGAAAAACCGACCCAAAACCCGATAACCGAACCGACCCAACCCGATATATGATATTGGTCCGGGTTTTATTTTAAAAATGACCGGTCCGGGTTAAAATACCCGACCCGAACCCGAAAACTCGGGTCCTAATTCGGGTTCTAAAATTTTAAGCCCGACCCGGACCGAAAAAACCCGATTTAATTAAGAAACTAAAATATATATATTTTATATAAAATATGTATGACCTATTAATACATCATACCTATATATATATGATACGTACAGACTATTTTATACTACATCCGCCCCATATTGATTTGCAAGAATGACTTTCTTAGTCAGACAATTTTATTTTATTCACTTAATTTGGATGTCAATTTTTAATTATATTTAACTTGGAGTTTGCAACTTTGAATGTATTTTAATGTAATTTGTTAATATGTAAATTTTATTTATTAAAAATTGAATGATGTATCAATATGGAGTATTTAACTTTAACATTGGTTGACCAAAAAATTTTGAGCTTGTAAATCAATTTGGGACGGAGGGGATATTACTTTGCTTTCGAACCAATTGTTCTTCTACAACATTTTCTATCATGTGACTTTTATATTCAAAATATACTGCTTTGATTTTAATATACTACATATATTTTTTTGATTAAAAGTTTAGATGTTTGCAATTTTTTGTTGTAATTGTATTTTAATTGTGTTTAGATATATCAGTTCAATTTTTTTCGAATTCAACCCGACCCGACCCGAACCCAACCCGAACCCGAGGCTCTTAAAACCCGGACCAACCCGAAAGTATTGGTCCTCCGATCGGGCCCAAAAATGTAGAACCCGAAGCTTTTCGGGTTTTTTACGGTCCTAGCAAAAACCCGACCCAACCCGACCCGATCCCACCCCTAGGTAACTGTTCTCGCCTGGCAATGATGACTTCAATATGACATCAACATGATGTCATGATGGGATAATGTGACACTTGTTCACAGTTAATCTGCAGAATTTGGGATCTGCTCCCTACTAAGGCAACACTGCCGGCGTATTGGTTGGTCAATAAATTACAGCTTATTGCAACTCCTTAATTTAGAAAATTATTCATCGTTTAGCTGAAATAAAAGATAAAGAACGAAGCTCAACAACATCCTCTAAGCTTGATCTATTCACTGCTGATGTTATAAGCAGATATGTACGAACAAAAAAACAAGATGCTATAAAATAAGAAGACAGTTAGTAATGATGGATTGACCTTGGTCGGGATATTAGACGAACAGCGTGGTGTAGACAGCGTCCGACCTAGGGGGAGGAGGAGCTGGAAACGGAGAGAGCAATAGCGTACGACCGTCTGGCTGAGAGGAGCGGTAAAGAGAGATGCCGGATCGGAAGAATTGGCACACGATCGGTGATTAGGTTATTCCATGGGCATGTGATTTTCTAATTGGACCGGATCAAACACTTTGCCCTGTAACTTTAAATCATTTAGAGCCCATTTGATAACCTTGAAATTCGTTGAATCGGCTGATTCTCCTGAAATTTAGGAAATTTTGACTGAAATATTTAGATTGGTCGATTCTAAGAAATTATTTTTAAAATAAATTTTATTAATAAAATGAAGAAGAATTATATGAAAAACTAGCTAATGATCTTTTAAGTAACTTCGGTCAATTCAACCACAAAAGTAATCACAATCTTACCTTTTTATTGGGGGTGTTTGGATCTGATTCTTAAAATTGTTTCTGCTCCTTCAGGGAGCAGAACCAGAAGCTAGAGTGTTTGGGTGAAAGTACATAAGTACTTCTGGTGCCTTAATTTACTCCTAGAATAAGTTTTTTTAGAAGTTGGGGGGACCAACTTTTGAAAACTGATTAAGCTTCTGCTTCACTTCCAAAAAACCCCATTGTTACCCAACTTAGCGCATAAAAAATAGTCACCAAACGGGTTCTTAATTTGGCAGATTTTACTGAGGGTACAAATACAGCCATAGAGGTGTTTATCAAATGAATACTCAAGCAAATTCAATCTGAAACATTCTCCATACTATTTCTTTAAGGAACGCATAAAGGTATCATTTGGATAATTACTATGTTAACTCAATGAATGCAGTAAAAGTTGTTTTTCGAAGCTTAACATGGATGACTCATGACTGCAATTTAAAAAAAAACATGGATGAATGTGCTATATTTATTCATAAAGAGACCTTAAATTTCGAAAAGCTCAAATTCAGAGAATTGGAGGTTCTCCAAAACCGGATATTGGAAGGTAAACATAGGTTCTGCTTAAAACTAGACTCTCATCACAAAATAAAAACAAACAAGATAGAAGAACATATCATGGGGTTCTTCCAAGTTAAATTCAAGACTCCCCTTATTCTTATTTTATTATTTGACCTTAATATAATGTTCATATATTTTGAATTGTGCATATCATCCTTACGTAGAGGCCATGTTAATCTACTCCATTTCTGATGCTATCGGATGTCCAGAAGGGACATATAATGTTCATATTAACGCGTGAGATATGTAATCAAAGGTGCTACATAGATACGTCAAAAGAGAAAGTCTTCAGAACTAATCTCTAGCTTATCCAGTCATCCTCAAATCGTAGTTTGTTTTCATTACAAACAAATGGAAGATTGTTTAATTTACACATGACAGCAAAAAATTCCAATACTTTCGCTACACATAATTAGTGTTCTTGAAACATCATCAATTCATACACAGCGACACCTTCCCAAAACAGAGTTTTATTTTATGGTCATAGAACATGACTCCATGATGGGCTTAGGTTATTGCAATGGTAAAGAAGAGAGTCGTTTGTAGAGAGGCAATAAAAGGTGTTGGGGAACCATTATGCTTAGGGAGTTAGGGAAGATCCACACTATCAATCACAGAAGGCTTTGCTCGGGAGGATTGATCTTGGGAGTCTTCACTATCAGATAGTTGAGACTCATGCTTCGCAGCAGCTTGCATCACCCTGCTCTGGACTTCAGTTGAAGATGAAGGCAAAGTGGGCAGCCCACTAGCGTTGTTTTCCAACTTGCCAATCACCCAATAAATCGCCTTGCCTCCAAGTCTAAATGGAGCCAGCAGCAGCCTGAACAAGATATGATGCAGCAAAAGAACAGATGTCAGTATAATGCATGTTGTAGAATATCAGTCTAATGCATATACTTCAGATATGCTAGTATTTGTGTATATTAGAGAAGATCTTGGCTTATAAGAAAACTAGGTCTGGTCCTTTGTAATTCATGTCATAATATTTTTAAGCTGTACCTAACATCCTGCTGAATATCTTCTGAATCCTCATACGACGAAAGTCGCAGATATACTGTCTGTTTAAGAGGCAGCAAATCAAACAGTTAGGAAGAGCATGAATTCAAAGAGTTGACTATGCAAGTTTGTTTATGTGCAACCGTGACCATGAAACTACTCTTATACATGGTAGAGTTAACTAGGGTCTGGCGGGGGTGGGGAGTGGGCGGGTTCTGTTTTCCTTGTTGGGTTGTCCAACATAAAAATTTCAATCCTATTTAGGAAGACAATTGTTGGTTAATATTCTTTCTTCCATATTAAATCAATGTGAACCACAGAATTCTATTTCCGTAATTCACTTACCAAAAGCAAATGGGAAGTTAATATTGGCACAGAGGACGAACTAATTACCAGAAAGAGACCACAAACACCAATCAGTTGCAGCGCCTTCTCCCACTCTGCAGCAAAACAATATCCATTTGGGTAAGGCGCATCATTGATTTGATATTTTTAAGACATTTCTCCAATGTCAAACATATAAAAGCTAAAAAAACATAGTACCTCTGCCACTAAATAATCCACATATATTTCCAAAAAAATTGCTTCCTTTTAAGGAAAGCATTACATTGTTCATAATCTCTCTTTCATCTAATAAATAGTCACGCCGCTTTTCATTTTCTTAATCTCCATGTCCTGTCAATTTAGGGGTTTATCTAGGATGGAGAATGTATTAGAGTTTGGGGTTCCATCTTTAAAAACATTCCCTTTAATTGGAAGAAAAGGTATAAAGCTTCACAAAGTTTCCCTTTGTGCATGTCCATATAGTGTTTATTACAGATTTTGATGTTATAGCCTTTTACCATGCCCACCATTTTTTCTGGATACAATCACTTCAATAACTATTACCATGGGGAAGTCATTGAATGCTCACCGAGAACTACATATACAGCTGCCATAGAACCCTTCAATCGATAAGAGAATTATTTCAATGAGAAACGGAAGCAAATAGATGTACACAACTATGATAAAACAGCCTTCTTAGTTCTTACCACTCCATATCCAAGAAGTTTTAAGGGTGTTGGATTGATTTCCTCAAGGATTGCCTCAACTTCCTGTTCAACAAAGTCAAATAGATTAATTTTTGCAATAAAATAAAGTAAAAATTACAACAACTAACTGATGATGTCAAGTTATGTCGAAACAAATCTGTCATATAAGTGAAAATTAAAAGAAAAAATACTGGAAGTGCGTAGAATATACTTCATTAATTATGGTAAGTGCTGTCTCAGGCTTTAGCTCTTTAATGCGAAGACCATCTTTTATCCATGAGCGAAACCCACCTTGCATCAAGTATGGTCTCTGTCATTTAAAGCCAAGTCAAACTTCAAGCACTTATCTGTCTTGTGGAGATTTGTTATGAAGCAGCAGTCAGTCCATGCAATTCTGGACGCGATTTTCACTACGGGTCATCCGGAAACAGTCTCTCTGTGCTTGTACAGGGGTAAAGACTGCGTACATCCGACCACCCCTTACCCCACCGTAGGTGGGAGCCTTTGCGGCACTGGGGTAAATGAAAATGAAAATGAAATGAAAAATAAAGCACCAATCATACTCTCCCCTGGTTAACAAATGCGACCAAGCAATCAAGATTATGCTTCCTCTATCCATATTGAAATGGTCTTAGGCTTTGTTTCCCTATTTGTGAAAAGGCTGCTATCAAGTAAAAGTACTTTTAGTAGGGTGCTTTGGTCAATCACATTGTCGAACAAAAGCAGTTGAGTTTTCATCCTTTTAACCAAAAAGTTTCTCAGGAAATAAGGATAACAATGGCTATCTTTTCGAAAGGATATGTCAAAATGGAGCTTTCAAAAGCTCCAATTTGGAGCTGTTGAATTTTAGTTTTAAAAACTCTATTGAAAATAGGCCAAACATGTGGCCTTCCACTTTGGAATGGTCTAAAAGAGCTTTTAGAACTCCAAAAGCTAGCCCAAACAGAGACTTATTGTTTAGGGACACCGCAGTGGGGACACATCATGTAGGAGAAAGTTCAATGGTGCCAGCCCAATAGTCGCAGAAAAATGACACTGTTGAACTATTCACCGTGTTTTTTGTCACCAACTTATATCTGGGATTGTCTTGTGTCCAAAAACATTATCTGTAGCTTGTCAAGACAAGAAGAAAATGGGGGGGGCTTCAAATTGCACTGTACCTGAAGTCCAAGTTTCCTCAATGAACGTGCAATCTCTTTGGAACGACCACCTTCATCATCCATAATTATAACCGTGGACTCATCCTGTTAGCATTTATAAGAACGGTGCCCAAAATAAGTATTGTGACTACATATTACAGTTTGACATACAATGTGAACACTAATCCTTTGTTTGGTTGGAGGATTTTGGAGGGAAGGGGATGAAAGTGAAGGAGTTCTGTGTGTTTGATTAGAGGAGGGGAAGTTGAGGCTGTATAAAATCTTCCAAACTCTCCATATCTCACTCACCCAATTTTGGAGGGATCTAATAACTTTGCTTAATAATTTCACTTTTTTCGAATTTGTTCTACATTAGTAGAGTTATACATGTGAGTATTTTTTTAATTTATAACAGAAATTGTATGAAGTTTCCATCATTTGCAATGGGGCCAACGATTCATTATTTTTTGGCTTGAGAATATGATGGAATAAAGCAAAATGGCTCACTAAACTGTCTGCGCTTCTTTGTTATGAAGCAGCAGTCAGTCCATGCAATTTTGGACACGATTTTCACAATGGGTCATCCGGAAACAGTCTCTCTGTTACTTTAGTATAGGGGTAAGACTGCGTACATCCAACCCCCCCTTACACCACCGTAGGTGGGAGCCTTTGCGGCACTGAGGTCAATGAAAATGAAAAAATGATGAACAGAAATTGTATGAAGGGAAATGCTTTTACACTTCTTAAAAAAGGAATCCCGCACCACTCCATTAAAACAAAACATTTAAACACTACTTTAACCCCTTCCCTTATCCTCTCTTCTCCTCTTTTCTTGTCAATCAAACTTAGCCTAACGATTTTTTTGTGAGGCATACATTATTAGGCTTTTTATTTAGCTATCATACGGACATACCCCTTTTTGGGAGGGTGAGGTGACGGCTGGGGTCAGGAATCATTGAAGGCCAGTGCAAATTAGAGGGAGTGTGTCATATTTTCTACATTAAAACATCATTGCAGGTAATTAT